GACAGCACGGATTTCTAGTATATCTTGTTATATCGGGTTTCAATGTATGTTGATCCCCAGATCCGTTTTTGCTCTTAGATTGCAACCATCCGCGTAACAACAGATTGCCGCCTGAGTTTGCTCTAACTTTACGATTGATCGCGATTTCTGATGCTTGTATATAACGTTCAATATATCCAATCCAAAGCAGGCCTGCAACCTGGCCTATTCACATAAGACCCGAATCTTATTTTTCGATTAGAGGGATAATCCAGTAATATTTCCCGAGATTTGGTTGAGATATCATTTATACCCAAGCAACATCAGGTGCTATTTGTTTTTTTAAATAATATATTATACAAACAGATTTCAAAAACCTTTGATGATAAGAAACATTTGAGGCACTTTCTCAGAATCAGTAGATGTAAATTCATATTTTTTTGTTGTTAGTAAGTACCATTTGAGTACTCTACAACTCATGTAAACACCCAAAGGATTAATAAAACTGTAATTTATCATAAAAAGTAATTTAATCAAGAAAAATTATTAAAGAAAATCCGTCTAAATATAATCACAAATTCCTAATAAATCATTACCCTTAGTGACTATCATGTTACTATAGTTTCATAATTTCAAATTTTTAATTTAATAACTTTTCTTTTCATTTATTTTTCCTTTAGAATTTGTTTGTTTTATATTAACTTATAATTTGCTCCCCCGGGTAGACAACAATATTTTATATCTTTTTAAATTCTTACAATTCGTTTTGTCTTGATTTTTTTTTCCAACTTCAACATATTTCTATATAAATATAAAAAAAAGTTAACAAATATATTAGATACAAATGTGTGTGTGCGTGTGTCTGTATAGCAAGTATTTTTCGTTAAATATTCAATTACTTACGCTATTGTATATTGTGTAAGTATGTAAGGAAGTGTGTAAATAAATTATTAGTGATTTTGATGGCATATTTTTGGGGTGTTTTTTTCTGGTAAACTAACAATCGTTTTTACGTTTTTATTTTATTATTATTTTTTCGTTGTTGTTGTTGTTATTTTTATTTACCATTATTTTCATGCCTACTTTACATTTGTTATTTTTATACACACAGATCAAATAACAATTTGCGTTTGTGATTCTCTGCCATAATACACACATTTACATAATTTTCAACTAAAAAATATATAAATAAATAAGAATGGTTATATCAAATGTATGTGCAGTATGTGGTATATAAAAAAATATAAATGTACATAATCTTACCCTAGAGATTTGTATAATGGCATTTTAACACATTCAAAGTCAAAATGTAGGCAATGGTTTTTATTGTTTCTTAGTTTTTTTTTATATATTTAGTATGGTATTGTATTGTATGTATTGTTGGTTGGTATATATTTTCTGGTTCATGGTTTTCAGTTTTTACTCGCGGTTAGTTGATTTTATTACAGTTTTATACAATTGTTTAGTTTATTTATTAATAATAAAACACAAAATGTACAAGATGAAAGGAAAAGAAAAAAACGAAATAGAAATGAAATATTTAATTTCCCCTAAACACTGGAAAGTATGCTTTAATTTTTCATATAAATAATGTTTCTTTTTTTAAATATTAAAAAAATCTTTAAAAATTCTCTTAAAAAAAGATTTGTTAACAAGAAATCACTTTCTCTCTTAACCAATAAAATATTGTTTAATAATAATTGTGTTGCAGATGATTATGATGTTGTTATGCTCTGTTTCACTTGAAAATAATGTTATTATTCTCATTTCTCATGTTATATTACATTTGTAGTTGTTTCTTCTTTTTCTTCTTGTTTTTTTTTTATACAACATTCTCAAATTTTGAAGTATACTTTTGGGCGTGTGTAAGTACGTACGTATGTATAGCCAACGTTACGTTTTACATGTTTTTCTAATATTATGCTGAAATAAAAATCAAAGTTTTTGTATGTGTATTATAAAAAACACATGTTGATATGATTTCATTTCACAGTTGAAATCATTTTCAACATTGTATTTAGTTTGTTTTCTTGTTGTTTTTTTTACATCATGGGTGTGTGTGTGTTTGTTTTGTTTTGGTTTTTTTCTACTTTCACTCCCTTTTCATCATTGTTGTAATCGAGATGTTTGTAGCATAATGTTTAGGGGTATTTTCCTTTTCCTGTTGGTTGCCATACGTATGATTGTATAAATGTCTATGTGTATGTAGGATTTTTTTTTGTTAGCATACTTTTAAGCATCATAAAATTAATTTTTAATGTTTATTGATTTTATTGTGCTGTAGGAGTAAGCGAGTATTTTATTTTTCCGTTATTTTTTTTTTATTTAGTTTGTTTTTTTCTCGTACGAACAAATGTTGAATACACAACTCTCATTAATAATTTACATTTTGTTTTGTTTTAATTTTGTGAAAAGGAATTTTTATTATGTTTTTATAATCCTCCTCTTAAATTTGAGGGGGTATTTTAGATTTAGGAAGTGGTTGGTAACATATCTTTGAAAAAATGGTATTTGTAACTTAACAATGATCCTTTTTGGTGATATGTTTGGTCTGAACTCCAAAAACATTCCCAGGCTGCTTTAGAGCTTATTGTGCGTTCATTGATGTAGTACCTTCGAATTTTCCAATCAGTGTTCCTGAGGTTTGTTGTAGCTGTAATAACATCACTCCAAAGATATTTGGATCTAATTACAGTGAAAACCACAGTTTCGCTATTCTCTCCGCATGTTCTATATATTTGTGCCGTAAACTTATGTGTCCACCAGGAATACATACCATCATACTTAACTCAGACTTATTCATTCTAAGGAGGCTTCTCGTCCTGCTTTTGATGTGTTCACCTTTTCATTGATCCGAGTGGACGTAAGGGATTCATTTGAACTTTTTGCATACAATAATACTAACGACAACGTTCATTTTTGAATTTAAAAAAGCTTTATGGTTGAAAGCTTTTTATTTCACCAAAGCTCAAACGAACGCTTGTATCAGCTGTTCTAAGTAAAAATCACTTCAAACTGGTCTTGCCAATATGCGTAAAACTAAATAAGAAGTATCTCAGTTAGGAAACTAAACATAAAAACATAAACTTTTCCTCATAGAGAAAAGCTTTTCATAAAGTAAAGCTTTTCATAGAGCAAACCTCTTCATAGAGTGTTTCCACAATTCATTTATGCCATCAGTTTTTTAACCACTCTTCGTTAAGTACACACACACACACGCGTACGTTTTTCTGTTAGAAATTTTATTTAATGAAAAATAATATGAAGCATACTTTAGGGAGTCTTAGCACAGTTAAACGAAAATTAAAATTTTAATCATTTACGATAACAAAAATGATGAAATGTGTAAACGGCATGTGTGTGTGTCTGTTTTTTATATGAATTAAATAAAACTTTTAAATTTAATTTATATTTAACTTTTCTTTTAAGAAATTATTTTTTTTTGGCAAAGTTTAGAAAAAAAAAACAGAAATGATGAAGGCATTTTTTTAGGCTTAAAATGTAAAATTATTTCCGATTTCTTTACAAAACTTATATTGTTGTAGGAAGTTGTTTTATGTTAACAAAAAAAATTTTAAAAGCAACTCAAGTAAAAAAGTGAAATTTAATAAGAAATTTGTTAATGAAAGCTTTATAAATTTTAAAACAAAAGCTTTTCATAATTAACAACTCAACTGATTTTTCATACTTTAATATTGAAATTTTATTAAGAAGGCTTTCAAAATAACAACAAAAAATTAAATTCTTTAAAAGCCTACTTTATCATAAAAGCTTTTTATAACCCCTTAAAAACTACTTAACTCTCTGGCATTTAAATGTATGTTAAATTTTCTTCCTTTTTTCCATGTTGCAATTGAAATTCATCCATGCAAATTTTCTTTATATACAGCGGAATTTTTAAATAAAATATTATTTGACATTGTCTTTTATTTCGTTAAAGTAACTACAAAAAGCTTATTGTTATTACTAGTTCATCGTTGTTGTCTTTTTTTTTTTGTTTCGTGTAAGAAAAACTATGTCAGGGCAATAAGAAGCGCAAATAAACTAAAATTCAGCACAAAAAATAAAGAAAGCGTTATATACAAAATAGTACTAAAATGTACATATTTATGTATCAAAAGCACTTGCAGTAAAAGTGTCAGTATCTATCAGAGCATATAACTAATCTTTAAATTTACGAGTCAGTTTTTAGTATTATAGTCATACGTAAAAGATTATAGTTGCTATAAAATAGTAAAACTACATATTTCTTATTTCTACATATTTGTTCTATTGTATGTATTTTTTTTTTGTAGAAATTTTTGTAGGATTAGAAAGAAGATTTTTGCATAGTAATAAAAATAAACAAAGAATATGTTCAATAGTTGTTGAAGAAGTATAATAAATGTTTGTTTAACAATTTTTCTTTTGAATAAAATTTAATTTTCATTTTGGTTTTGGGAAATTGAATTTTTATTGATGATATTCTTATAAAGCTTTTAATATTAATAAAATTTTAACCCAAGCATTAATATAGATTAAGCTTTAACATAAGCTTTTAACTATATAAAGCTTGGTTAAGAGCTTTTGCATTTAAAAAACTTTATAAAAAGCTTTAAAGTACTTGTTTAATATTAAACATTATTGAAAGCTTTTGTGTATTAAAAGCTTAATTTTTTAAAAAGTTTTAATAGAAATAAGTCATTAATAAACGTAAAACTTAATTCACAGGCTTTATTAAAAGCTTTATTAGTGTGCTTTACCAAAAGCTTCACTAAAATCTTCTATTAATATAGATTAAGCTTTAACATAAGCTTTTAACTATATAAAGCTTGGTTAAGAGCTTTTGCATTTAATAAACTTTATAAAAAGCTTTAAAGTACTTAATTCACAGGCTTTATTAAAAGCTAGTGTGCTTTACCAAAAGCTTCACTAAAATCTTATTTCCAACAATTTGCCTTTAGTCTTTAACTATTAAATTCTAATAATTTATATTCAAAGTATTAACATGTATTTTTATATATTTCTTTTTTTCATTTTAGCAATTATTCCGCTCACAAAATCCTGGCCTTGCTGCTGCTACAAATGCTGCCGCCGCAGCTGCAGCAGCTGCGGCTGCCACAACAGCTGGTGCACCTCCTGGCGCACCCAATGGCACAATGCAACCGCAACAAATGCAAATGGCTGCTGCCTCACAACAGTTCTTGGCTGCCCAACAGAATGCTGCATATGCAGCCCAGCAGGCAGCACCCTACGTGATTAATCCGGGTCAAGATGCAGCACCCTATATGGGTTTAATAGCAGCACAAATGCCACCATACTATGGTGTAGCACCTTGGGGCATGTATCCAGGCAATTTAATACCACAACAAGGCACACAACCAAGAAGGCCGTTAACGCCCTCACAACAAGGGGCCGAAAATCAATCTTATCAGGTGGGTAATAAAAACTTAAAAAAAAAAAAAATTAAAATGTAGAAAACAAACGCTTTAAGTATAAAATTTGTGTAATTTTACATGTAAATTAACAAAAGTTATGAAACAGATCAATATTGTAAAAAAAACAAAACTATAGCTGTAAAATTCACAATATTTTGTATAAATATGAATACATTGAACAAAATGAAAATTATATAAATATAAATATATTCTTCTATATATTGTAAAACCTTAACATATAAAACATAAAACAAAAAATATTTTCTCTTTTTTTTTCTCTCTCTCATGTGGCTGTGTTTTATTTTTATATAAATGACATATAACCCATCCATTCCTCCACTCAACAAAACAAAATCTAACTTCTGTACAAAATAAAATTAATATTAAAAAAAAACTATATGCTAAATAAAACCCATCATAAATGCTAACAAAAAAAAAATCTAAAAAAATTAAAACTTATGTGAATAAATATGAAAAACTAAAACATCAGGTTATACCGGCATTTTTTGATCAGAGCGGTTCGCTTGTTATGGGACCACGTACAGGAACACCAATGCGCCTTGTTAGTCCAGCACCTGTTTTAGTGCCACCAGGCGCCGCACGTGCCGGACCACCACCACCACAAGGTCCACCCCAACTATATCCGCCACAACCCCAAACAGCACAACAGAATTTATATTCACAACAAAATGGTTCAAGTGTTGGAGGTAAGAGACATTTCTATATATTTTTTTATAAATATGTATTTATAATGTAAAGTTCTTTTTTTTTTTTTTGTATATAAAAGTGAAAGATATGATATTGTAAATTTTGAAAGATTATGCAAAAATGATAATTTGCTTTATTGGAAAACTAACAATTTTAATTTTTATAAATAATTCAATTCTATATAAAAATAAAATAAATCGCTGTATGCTAAACTTTGCGAAAATACTTAAAAGTGATTAAATTTTAGAGAAATGTACATAGAGTTGGAACTTCAAAAAAAGCTCAATCAAAAAGCTTTAATTATTTAATTAATATTGTTTAGAACAAGATATGATTAGGAAGATTGAAACCAATATATAGGACTTTCAGACATAAGAAATTTTATAATAAAAACCGTACTCGTTCGTTATAACGCCGTATATGGCAGAAAATGGAGTTTATTTAAAAAAAAAACCCAATGTGATGAATAAATTCTGATTCAGAGCAACTTAAACCATCGAAAAAGTTAATGAAGTCTGTGTTATCTATCAATGGCTTATAGAGAGTTTATTACGCAGCTTTTAATACTAAATTTTCTTATAAACCTGTAATAAAACAGGAAGAAATTTTTACAGTTTTTTTTCTGTAAGACTAGAAAGAACTGCAGGCTACTTTGTTCAAGTTGGTTCGCCCACTTATAAAATACGTATTAAAAGTCCCAGGAATATGTAATAGTTATCTGTCTGTTACATATTCATTAAACTAGCAATAGTAGAAGTGGCACCACCCATATAAAATATAAAATTCCACATCCTTGCTAGCATTTTTTTTTTTTTTTTTGGAAATTTTTGATCACATTCGAGTCATATATGACTCTTCTGCACGATTAAAATGATCATATATGCGCTCATTTTGTAATCATAAATGATACTTTCGTAGGGAGAAAATGGTACCCTTACCGTGACTCTTCTAAAGGAGTCTTTTATGAGCCCCTCTTCTGATAATTTCTAACTCAGTTAATTAACTTAGTTAGTTAGTTAGTTAGTTAGTTAGTTAGTAAGTAAGTTAGTTAGTTAGTTAGTTAGTTAGTTAGTTAGTTAGTTAGTTAGTTAGTTAGTTAGTTAGTTAGTTAGTTAGTTAGTTAGTTAGTTAGTTAGTTAGTTAGTTAGTTAGTTAGTTAGTTAGTTAGTTAGTTAGTTAGTTAGTTAGTTAGTTAGTTAGTTAGTTAGTTAGTTAGTTAGTTAGTTAGTTAGTTAGTTAGTTAGTTAGTTAGTTAGTTAGTTAGTTAGTTAGTTAGTTAGTTAGTTAGTTAGTTAGTTATTTAGTTAGTTAGTTAGTTAGTTAGTTAGTTAGTTAGTTAGTTAGTTAGTTAGTTAGTTAGTTAGTTAGTTAGTTAGTTAGTTAGTTAGTTAGTTAGTTAGTTAGTTAGTTAGTTAGTTAGTTTGCTAGTTGGTTTGAAAAGAGGATGTATATACATCAAATACATAAGAAACTATTTCAACTGCTTCAAATATGATCACAAAATAATTTTGAAAACTATCATATTTTAAACATCAGTATGATCAATTTATGATTGTTATATATATTTTGTTATTTTTTTTTTCTAATAATCAGTTTGTAATTATATATCGGTATCCGATTTTCGTATTATTTTTTAAGCGGGCAACCTTTTAAACACTTTTGGGTCATCAAAAGATGTCAAAAAATACTCAGTTTACTTATTAATCATTCAACAATCTTCCAATTGTTAGCTGGGATTTTTTTAGGTTCTGCGAAAATACTTTAGGATTAAATAAGGAAAACAGGAAAGTTTCTAAAGCGGCTTACCGTTTTGTGATCCCATCTTTCAGGTTTTTAGACTAATGGCCCTTTTCGGCCAAAAACTACAAAAATCTATCTTTGTTTGCATTTTCAAATTCAAAATCGGTATTTTTATATACAGAGCTAGAGCTAGAGTTCTCAAATTTTGTATGAATAACTGTACTATACCCAGTAAAAACTTTCATTACCAAGTAAGGGGTTAAACTACTAATGCAAGTACTTACCACAAACGATTATAAGTAATTACAAAAAGTAGTCATTGTAAATCTCATGAAAAAATGTATACTGCTTCTATATCTTCACTGGCAAGATGACTAATGAATTAGAAAGTATTCATATAATACATTATTAGTAAGATCTTATTAGACTACTACTATGTAATCCAGGCGATAAGTGGTACTCATTGTAAAGTATGTTGTTAGGTAAGTAATTAGATTTGAAAGCCATTACCTAGTTTATGCTGGCTAAATATAAATATTTAGCACAAAAATGGGCAAACTGTCAATAGTGGGCGTGACATCTGAAAATATAAAGTCGACTTTATCAAAGCTGTAATGAAAATTTAATTTTTTATTTTGTAATAAAACTATAAATAATATAACAATTCATATTGTACATTATTAAGTGCTTGATTGTGCATTTCATTTAAACAATATTTATTCTAAAATATTTGACCATCAAACATTTTATATAAATTTATTATATTTAAACATATGACACAATATAGACTTGGCTTTATACCAAAAATCAACTATAAACATTTTGACTGCGCTTTAAAGTGTAACCTCCCGTATTAACCCTGAAAAACTGCGTTTTATTATTATTATTTTTTTTTTAATTTAAATGAGGCCTAAAATATACAATTAACATAAATTAAACTTTTGTATCGAAAAGAAGTTGTCATGAGAAAAATAAACAAGAAAAAATTAAATTCACAACTGTTTTGCTTTATATGTTTGTTTATTATTAAAATCATCTGTATGAATATATTAAACACTATTAATGATTTTATTTTAACAACATTTTAAGCCACAAATTAGCCGTTTTTTTATTAATAAAAAAATAATTAAATGACCTTATACACAATATTCAATAAAAATAATTAATTTAATATTAATAAAAAAGAAGATATTTAAACAGGTTCTATAAATATATTTAAAAAAAATACTATATTTTGTTGAAATCAATTAAATATTGATAAGCCAAAAGAAGGTATAATAGATAAGGAAAATTTATATATAATTAGCAGATTTTAAAAGAATTTTATATATAAAGAATAGCAATGAAACCTTAACATTAACCTAAAAATAGGCTATATAATATTTAATTAATTTGCGACACGCGTTTTATACTTTAAAGCAAAAATTTATATCAAAAAAACTTATCGATTTACTGCCTTTTTCATAACAAGTTATCACAGGTTTTTAAAACAACTTTTGTATGAAAATTGGTTTTATAAACCTTTGATAAATTATTATGAATAAGGCCCTTATTGTTTTATTGACTTTTTATTTGAATTCATCACCATGACTTTTTATTTATTTATTTTTTTTTTTTTTTTAACTTCAAACACATTTTTTTTAAATGTTTTTTTATTCATTTTATTAATTGTTTAAATATTTTACATTCCATGTAATTAAAACCTATTTAAATGGAAAAAAATGTGCAAAAATTAAAAAAAAAACAATAAATTGTATTAGTAATTTAATAGCTGCAACCACACTCTAGTACAGTGTTAAACATTTCATTAATTTATAAATTTATAAATTTATAAATTGTTTTAAATAATAATAATATTAAATATATAGTAAATTACTCAATATGGCAAATTAATTTAATTTGTTTTAACATTATATTAGTTTTATATGCAATTACATAATATAATTAATTATTAAACTAAATAATATATGGAAATGGTTATTATATACAAAAAAAAAACTAAAGCATACCTTAGGGTTAAAATAAATTATATTGTTATAAAACCTTTAAAAAAATGTTAGAAAAAAAAACCAATGTTAATTACTAATTGTTACAAAAACTATTTGCTGTAAATTAATTGTGAAATTAACATTTTTGTATACTATATACCAAAAACATTAGTTACTCAGTTTTTATATAAAATAAATTCCCTAATGTATGCTTTATTATTATTTTTCTTTAACATTACAGTTGTTTAATTTGTTATATTTACTTTTTTTCCATTTTTTTGTTTTAATACTTTATAATTTAGTTTTTTTCCGTATTTTTTTAATAAAAATCGATTTTCTGACTAAACAAATGAAACTCTTTCACACACATGTTCATAAAGGTGTTTACCTTAGACAGGTAATTGTCAGTCAGGTATCAAATGGAAACTGAAATTATACTTCATATATATAGTATGTAGAAAACAACAACACTCATGTAATGTCAGCAGCAGATAACATGTCAGTTTATTATTAAAGGTATTTTAGTTTATATACTAGATATTTAATGTAAAGTGTAGGTGAACATTTAATTTACACAATTTTTAAAGGAATTAATTCTTTTTATTTATAGCACCTAAAAGTAGGCAATATAAGTTAGTATCTAATAAGACTTGTTTTATATAATCATATGATAGATTTGTACAGCTTATTATAACTCAAAATGTTCATAAATATTGTTCATTTATTTCGTGAGCTTGGTAAACACTAGTTCTACACAAAGTTTTCTAAAAAATAAAGAATTTACCAAAATTGTTGTTATAAAAGATTTTATCACAAACTTTCTTTGATAGAGAATTTATGAAAATTTTTCCATAAACAGAAAATTTATCGAATATTGTATATAAAATAGTAAATTAAATTCTTTATAGGTTAAAGTTTTCTCATAGTTACATAGTTTTGCTCCGAAAACTATGCAACACTATTTTACATATTCTTTAATTTGAACATCTTTTGTTGGATATTTGTTAAGAACGTTAACAAATTTAGTATTTTAATATTTGGTAACCTAAATGTCATCTAAATTTCTATAGAATGGCTAAGGAGCAATATTATAAGATTGACTTTAATTATAACAAAAATAAATGTATGTTTATTAACTTATATATTTATTTGTCTTATAAATGTTAAGGATAGTCAGAAATATTTTTTTTTTTAATTTAATAATACTATGATTAAACACTTTACCTCCCACTCCAGCTATTTCAGTAGTATGTAACTACATATTTAATTAT